TTAGCTTAAATAGCTAATTTTAACATGCGACGAAAGCGACGAACAGTTGCCGAATCCGTCTGTACCAATTAATATTTTGTATTTTTTTTGAGATAGAATAAAATTTTTAAATAATTTGATATTTATCTCATTTAGATGCAATAACTTCAATAAATATAAAGGATCTTATCACTATAGTCTCCCCTCGTGAGAAGAAATTGATATTCATGTTAATATTATTTTACTATGTGGTTCTTTTTCTGGCTACGATTTATTTTNTTTACTATGTGGTTCTTTTTGTGTCTACGATTCATTTTGCCAACCCTCACTAGACCTACTTTTTTCAACGATACGTCAAATGATTACAATTCGTATTTAGTTTAAGTTATTACTATTAGTTTAAGTTATTACTCTTAAAAATCAAAAAAATATTCCTTATTCAAATAAAAAGTAGCTTAACTAGATTTGTCCANGGCTTAACCAGCTTTTTCCATACAAACAATTAAAATAATTAATTTCTAATATTCTTAAAGTATTTATTTTCGAATTAGATTTCATATGATAAAAGTATTCAACTACAAGAGTAAATAATTTTACTTTGTAATTTATTAATTTTTAAATCTATTTCTGTGTGCTACTACCAGTCTATAATATTCCAATTTTTTTTGTAACATGTTGTTATATAAATCATAAATTTAAAAAAAAAGTGATTTTTAGTGTCACCTGAATTTAACGCTGGATTTATACAATTATAATCAAATATTATAATATGCTCAATTGAGTAAATCTTTTTAACAACTTTTTTTTATTGGTTCTTTTAGTTAAAGTAAATCAAAATTAATTAAGTTCTAAATATTTCTATTGTAGAATCTTTTTACACACCAATAGTTAATTAGAAATGATTACTATGATTTCTATTTAAGTAATCTATTACGATAAAAATGTAAAAAAAATCGAACTTTTCTGAAAAATGTACTGTAAATAGTAATTATAAAATTTCCTAATTGCATATTAATCTTAATAATTTCATATTTTTCTATTTAATAATGTCAATTTCAAATTTGCAAGTTGAGCTAAAAGTTATGGTAATAACATAATTTTTTTTTTTTATTAAAACTTTCACTTTGAAGGACAAAAAAAAGTAGGTTCAAAATGATTACNTATTAAAACTTTCACTTTGAAGGACAAAAAAAAGTAGGTTCAAAATGATTACTTTTAACATATTAAAAATCAAAATCAATAATAATTTGAAAACAATTAATTTTAAAAATTATATACTATAATACTAAAAGAATTACTAATCTGGGTATAATTAAGAAAATAGAAGTTGATGTTGCTTTTGTAATTAATTAATAAAAAAAAAATTTCGGACTTTATTTTATCTTCAGGGTGAAAATGACGACCGAATGCTATTTTTGTGTGAAAATTTTCGATTTTGTATTTTACATTTTTAACTTTATTATGCTATAACTTATTGAAAAGTGTATTGATCAATATAATTTTTTTATGGGAAATACTATTTTTTAATATTCCTTCTTTCATTCGACATACTTTATCTTAATCAGGATATTAATAAGGAACTAGCAATTTATGAAGCTTTTGGAATAATCTATCAATTTCTTAGAATTAAACACTATCTACAGATTTGCATTGAAGCGTTTCTTATGATAGTGATTTTAATCACAGTCAGATTAAATTTATACTGGACCCAACTATGCAACGTCCCCACTGTGCCGAGTTTTTTAATTTTTTAGCCAAAATTCAATTTTTTTTTATATATTATACATGTTTTTTATTTTTTTTTTTTAAATAAAATTTAGGGGAAGGCCCTGTCACGGTCGCCATGTGTAAGTTTTCATCCAAAACAGAGGTCCTACTATTTACCCACTGCCCAGGGGGAACACTGGACAGTGACCTAAGTGCCGCGCCAAGCAAGATAGTATTTGTTGACGGAGCTACTAGGTTTTGATAAAAAAAAAAAACAAATGTTAATAAAAAAGAGAAAGACAATGTATAATATAATATTTTTTCTCTTTAATTATTGAAAATTTATATGTATCATTTTAAATATATAATGTATATTCATAAGAAAAGAATAAAAAAACAAAAAAGAAGAAAAAGAGGTGCTATATACATCACATTAATAAAGGAGGTAGAGTAGTGGGGTTTCATGTTGTACTTGTTGTTGTTGATTGTTTTGAGGAGTGACGGCCCACCACCGGCCATAGTTGTGCCTCACATCACCATCATCATTGGCATCTCAACGTTTTATTTAAAAAAAATACAGCCTAGTTGACACCACGTGTAGACGGCAGGTCGACTCGACGTTTATTTTAATAAAAAAAAAAACAGAGGACAAAAAAATAAATGTACAAAAAAAAACGTGTTTTTCACAACAAAAATATACAGAAAACACAACTTGTCGCCTCGGTAGTATGGTTGAGAAAAAAAATCCCGTCGTCACGGCATTTGTAGTGACCGGTGATTGTGACGTCTGGTGGTGGTGGTGCCAACTTTTAACACGTTCATTGGGGGGAAATACAACAATTGGTACAGGTGCACAGTGTACGGTCAACTGATGACGATAGGATGACGGACATCAGACCGGTTGACTAGTGGAGGTTATCACATACACAACTATTAAAATACTTTACACCTACTGCACACACCTCTAATTGATAAGATTTATTGAAAAAAACTAGTCAAATTCTGCAACATTACAGAATATAATAATGTATAAATTGTTGTAAATAATTTATAGATCGTAATATTTTAATCTAACTCACAATCATCAGGCAAACTTTCTTCTGTGTTCTCGCTTGTAGAACAGAATTCCACAGTTTTAACTAAAACTTAAACATAAATTGCTTATGACTTAACAATACTATACTATTCACTGTCTATTTGTAACTCAAAATACTTACTAGTTAATTTTAATTCATCTTTATTAAATTTTCTTTTTTCTCAAATTCTTTTAGTTTTTTAAATTGCTAAAATTCTTTTTTTTTGGTAAGTTACATTAACGCCAATAAGTGATTGTGGACGACCCTTTTGTCTTTGACTTATTAAAAACTACTTGTCTATATCAATAGTCATTATGTCTAATGCATCTGCATGAGCAAGATCAAATAGCTCATAAAAAAATTGTACAAATTTATTTTCTTTATCTATCTGAGTATTTGTACGCCGACTTAAATTCCTTTAATTTTGGTAAACAATTACGAACTTCTTTAGTAGGTATTTGAGCTTTTTGTCAGAATGTCAATGTTTAGTCGATCACTAAATGCGCTCTATCGCGAACACTCAAGTTAACTTTTCGAATATTAAAAAAAAAATACTGATAAAACTTGTTAATTTGATGGCAATTTACATCCAACATGTAAACTATTACCAATTAAATAAATACTTTTTCGTAAATTTCTTATAGTCTCCATTTTTAAATAAAAAAGTAATAATTAAGTTTAAAAATCACAAAATACACAGACTACAGATTATCTCGATAAAACCTCAATGTTAAACGTTAACGTTTATTATTGATGTAAAGATATGAACTAAAATTCTGTAGTTTATGATATTGGAAGTAATCAACATTGTTAATAATATTAGGTATTTTTAAGTAGGTAATGTCCATTCATTACTTAAACTGTCCATAATATTTCGATAATATTTATACCTTGTAGAAATAAACAAACAAAAATAATCTATTATTTTGTCAATATAAACGTATGATACTATAATAAAAAACTTTAAAAATGAGTTTTTGTTATTTTTTGATCGAATTTTTATGGAAAAAGTATTAAAGACAAATATTATTGAAAATTTAATTCAAAATATATATCATAAGATATATTTTCTTATCATTAATACTAGAGCTCCCTATTTCACGTGCACACGAATACTCACGTATTCAAGTATGCACATATTTTAGTGTTTTAATATATATTTTATTATTAGCCATACAATTTACCTTTAAAGATATACAAAATCAATAAAAAATTTAACAAAAGCATTTGGTACATTCATAACGACGATTTTCAAACAAATTAAAGTAATTACTTTTGTTATAACTTCCGAAATAATGAGTTAAATGTTTTATTAGTTAAATGTTGCCATTAAAAATAAATAACATTTGCAAGTTACAATGATATATAACATATAATGGGTGAATTAAAAATAACTTGATTATTAATAAATTAAGAACTATATAAAATTAAGAAATACTAAAAATAATTTAATAAATAAATAATATAATTATTATTTTAAGTGTAATCGAGTGGTGAATATTAAAGAAATTATCCTGTTTATAGTAACTTTATAATTTCTCTCTGAAAATTTCAATATAAAATATTAAATATCACTTTCATACTAAATTTAATTTCTATAATATGTATTTATTCCTGTAATATATTAATAAATCATAAAACTTGTAATCAAGTTGGGTTTTAGATTTTATGTTGCTTTTAGAATAATTCAAAAATAATTACTAAAAATTAACTATTTTCACATTTGCTTCGAGACGTTTTGTATAATAGTGATTTTAATCAGTTATTATCTATACTTATCTCTCAACTATGCAGCATCCTCACTGTGTTTTTTTTTATTGGGTGTTTTGAAACGTTTACTTTTGTCATTTTTCTCAATTAGTGAACATTGCAAAATATGAAATTTATTTTAAAAATATTTTCGGTGCAATTTATAATTGCCCATATAAAGAAAATGAGTGATTTACCATAAATCAGTTACCTATATGATTTCTATATTATGACTTTACTAAATTGTAAAATTCAAATTTTTATAAAAAAAAACCAAAATATTGAATATTAATTTTAAAAAATAATATTATAAAGTATTTCATGTTATCATCTTTGTTCCATTCTTAAAGATAGTATTTCCAAGTATAAAAAAAAATTTGGTTTTTAATTATTTTAAACTTTTGATATTATTCTAAAGTGGGATTTTGAATAACTCTTTATCAATTATTTCTATTTTATTATATTTAATTTTTATTTTATTTTACTAAGATGTTTTTGAACGATTACGAAGAAATTCCATTTTCTGCACTTCTTTATTTGACGGGTGAATGCAATTATGGTGGTCGAGTTACTGACGATAAAGATAGGCGCTTATTAAATTCATTGCTATCAATTTTTTATAATTCAAAAGTAGTTACTGATGAATCGTGAGTAAAATTTTATATGATTATAGAAAAATGTATATATCCTTTTTCAAAAAAACTGTTAAATTTTAAGTTCTATAATTGTATTATTATATATTTTTTCATATTAAATTTAAAAGGAATTTTTTTTAGATACACATTTTCACATAGTGGAATTTATCACATACCTACAGATACTACTTACGAAGGTTGTTTAAACTATATAAAGTCTTTGCCTTTAAACTCTCAACCGGAAATTTTTGGACTGCATGAAAATGCTAATATAATAAAAAACAATAATGAAACAAATATGGTATAAAATATAATTAAATATAAATTTATTTTATTTTATTCGTTGTATTTTTAAAAATATTGTAGCTATTAAACGGAACTATTTTAACACAATCTCAAATAAGAGCAAGGAGCAGTGACACTAATAGAGACAAAGAAATTATAGAATTAGCCAGTTCTATTGCACAAAGTTTACCTAATTTGTTTGATGTAGCTGCAGCTGTAAAGAAATATCCAACAAAATATGAACAGTCAATGAACACAGTTATTCGCCAAGTACATTTTGCTATTATTGTTGTACTTATTATCATTCTAAAAGATAATTTATTTACATTATAAAGGAATTAATAAGATTTAATAAACTTCTAACCATCATAAAAAAATCATTGATTGAAATTCAAAGAGCAATAAAAGGAATTGTTGTTATGTCTGTTGATTTGGAAGAACTTAATACAAGTTTAATCATTGGGCGAGTTCCAGCAAGTTGGCTGGTTAAATCATACCCATCATTAAAACCATTAGGAGGTTATATAATTGATTTATTAAATAGGTATGTAAACTATTTCACTCTAAAAAATTTAACCTATATGTAAAAGTAATCTACTAATAATGAAATTGGTATAAGAACTACCATCCATCCAGAGTTGGCGACCATAGCTTATTTTTACCAATACTTTAAAGTTTTGTAGCTAAATAAAAAATGTATCTACAAATAATAAGTTGAATCTTTCCAATTTTTTTTTTTACATGAACTTTCATGAAATAAAAAAAAACTTTTGAATCCTTTCTTGAACTCTCAAAATGACTAAAATAATCGCATGTTAAAAAATCAATTTTCATTTTTTTTATAATTGAAAAACATTTAAGAAAATTGTAAAAAAAAAGTATAATTATATATGATTTGAAAAAAAATATGTATTTAAATATATAATATATACAGCAGTTACTCGCGAGCAGTCGTACAGTACACACCAGTGTTAACATAATTCGTATAATGTGCCCACAGCATTCTTATATTAGAACCGATTTTTCTCGAATTTTTACGTAAATAATCAGTATTCGAACACGCGTTGTGCGCGTAAAGTTATTACTTTAATAAATTACAAATTATAGTCTTAATCTAATATAAGTGCAATTCTCAATTAGTTTAATAATCTACAAAAAGACCGGCTCCAGGCACCGCGCGCTCGGTGACCTTTGGAACCTAAGATAAGATAGTGGCACCATGCCTAACAACCCGATAAGCAACAAACACGTTACTACAAATAACACACAGAACGGTTCTAACGATAACGATTCTCCTTTACATATTACTATAACGAAAAATAATAACAATGAATCAGCCGAACCGGAATGGATAATCAAAACAGGTAAACGCCCTTCATCTCCAGGTATGTCACCGAAATCTAAAGGTAATAAAAATGAAAAAAGTAAATACACATTCTCCACTCCAAACCGTTATGACGTACTAAGCGAAGCCAATGAAATCGGTGACGATAATTCCCAAATGCATACCGATATTGTCCCTCAACCAGCTACACCACCTCCGATTTTCATCACCACACCGATAGATTACTTAAAATTCTGCGCCCAAATTAAAACAACAATTGGTAACGAAGAGTTTTTATGCAAAACCACTACCAAAAACCTCAAGTTATCATTAAG